GCTGGGGGCCTGGGCACAGAGGTGTGGCCAGCGGCTGTGGTCAGCGGGCCTGAGGCAGAGAACCCACCTCACCCCCTGCTTTGGACACAGCTGCTCTGGAGCAGGAGAACTGAGGTGCACAGGGTCACCTCCCCCTTGGGTGGGGCAGCCAAGTGGCCCCCAAGGGCTGAGTGTCCATCAGGCCCCCTCCCCCAACCCTGAAAGCTGCACAGAGGGTCCCTGTCGCCTCAGTCTCCACGGGAAACCCTCTTCCTTGCAGTGAATCAGGGAGGCACAGCCCCCTGCCCAGCGCGCAGGGCTCCAGCCTGAAGCGCTTCAGCGGTGGCTGCTAATAGTCTCCCATTTCCACAGCTAAGAACCTCGCGAATGGCATCATTACAGCTGAGGAATGAGAAGCCAAAATAACCCCAGTGCGCCGGCTCTGGCTCCGCAGGAGCCGAGGAAGCAGCAACCAGGTCCCCGGGGGCCGCGCCCTGGCAGGCCGAGAGCAAGGGACTCGGGGACCTTCGGCTTGGCTCACCTCCACCCAGTGTGCGGGAGGCCCAGCCCAGGTGTGTGTCAGCTGAGGAACGGGAGCCTCTGGGAGGGTTTTCAGAAAGCACCAGCTGCAGGGGGTGCCGGTGCGGTGTGGCTGGGGCTGGGAGGCGGGAGGGCCCCGGGCCCAGGGAAGCAACAGTGAGCGCTGGGCGGAAGCCCAGGGGGCCCCAGCACACCCTCACTGCTGGCTGGGCCCAGGGGCCGTGTCAGCCTGGCAGGGCTGGGAGGGAGGTGGCTGGGCTCAGAGCCCAGCCCAGCGTCCAGCTGCTGCGTGACACCAGGCCACAGCACATGTCCCTGGGCCGTGTCACAGGTCCAACACGCAGGGACCGGTCACAGGCCTGCACACAGCGAGCGCTCGCCACACTGGCTCGCCTTGGGCCCCTTGGTGCAAAGCTACTCAGGAGTCCTGAGCGGCGAGGCCTGCACTCCCTCGGGCTTCTAGGCCGTGTCCACGGGAAAGCCCAGGTCAGCAGAAAATCCTTTGCCACGCCGTCAGCCCTAGAAGCTCCACCTAGTCTAGGAGGACTGAAAAAAGGGGGTCCCCGGGGAACTCCCTCCTGTACCGGTTCAGCCCGCTCGCTGGTGCGAGCGAGCCGGGTGCGTGTGGGCAGGCGGCCGCTGCGGAAGGGGCCTGCGAGCCACCCAGCTGGGGGTCCCTGCTGTGCCACTCCTGCCTCCTGTCCGCTCAGCCCTCAGAGTCGCCCAAAAAGCCTCTCCGGGCTCCCCGAGAACCTTGGGGCATCGGAGTCCAGTCCAGCCCGGGAAGCGCTCCAAGCCCACCAGGCCTCCCCTCGAGGCCGCGGCCGCGGCCACAGCAGCAGAGCCCGAAGCCAGCACTCAGGTGCCCCCGGCACCCCCCGCCCCACCACTAGGTCTGGGGTGCGGGCGGGAACGTTCACATTAGTCATTCCATGATTCTGTCACTCTTTTCAGGAGCACAGAGTTGTTATGAAAGCAGAAAATCACTAAACGTCAAGCCTGAAGAACAATCAGAAAGCAGCCCTGGCCACCAACTGCCCTGTGTGGTTTTCGGGAACCAGAGCCAACCGCCAAGGGCCAGGCCGGCCGCGTCGCGGTAGGTCACTCTGGTAAAACGGGCTCGAAAGCAGCAGCCGCAGAGAAGAAAGGGCAGACGGAGC